AATATTTCCAGAAGAGTTCATAATGAGAAGAACTCGTCTTAAAGGAGAAGGTTCATAATGAGAAGAGTATGTTCCTTTCAAATCCACCGCAGAAGGAGGTGAACCAACATTTCCAGAAGAGTTCATAATGAGAAAAACTCGTCTTAAAAGAGAAGGTTCGTAATGAGAAGAGCCTGTTCCTTTCAAATTCACCCCAGAAGGAGGTGAATCGACATTTCCAGAAGAGTTCATAATGATAAGAACTCATCCGATAAAAGAAGAAGAAGTTCATAATGAGAAGAACTTGTTCAACCTTAGCTCAATTCATCGCATATGGAGTTGAATCAGAAACACCTCACTCGAGGGATCAGCATTGCCAGTGGAGAGTTCATAATGAGAAGAACTCATCTGATGAGGGAGAAGAAGTTCATAATGAGAAGAACTTGTTCAACTTTGGTGATTTCATCATATAAGGAAGTGGATTGACATCCCCAGCGAAGACGTTTATAATGAGAGGAGCTTGTTCGACCTATTGCTCGATTCACAACACTTCGAATCAGTAATACCTCGCTTGAGGGATTAACATTTTCAATGGAGAGTTTGTAAGAAGAACTCATCCGATAAGTGAGAAGAAGTTCATAAGGAGAAGAACTTGTTTAACCTTAACTTGTTTTCATCGCATATGGAGCTGGAACAGCACCAACATTTTGTTCATTACAGAATGAGGTGGATCAAACATTGCCAGCTAAATCCATCGCATAAGGAGTTGGATCGACATCACTATTAGTGCAACTATCATGGGAAGAGAAGAATTAACATTGGCAGTGAAGAGGTTGCAATGTGACAAGATGAGACCAATATGAAAAATGGTGCTTTTATATCTTTGCTTCATTCTCTTTTCACATCAATGAGCAAAGAGGGGCAGCTGTAACCACCATTTTTCATACCCCAACAAAACCCTAACCTAATCCTAACCATAGATATGTCATGATTCAGCCGTCACCGTCGGTCCAAACTTGCTCGACAAAACCCCGGAATATCTGGAGCATTAAAAACGCTCCATCATCAACAGTAGCACCACAGTAGATCTAGGATTTTATTTAAAGCTTATGCATTTTTCCATGGGTTATAAAAACCCGATTGAAATGTAACACAGAGGATATTTTTGGAGAAATCAAACAAAAAAAAACAGAGAAAGTTCTTCCTGGAAGAAAAGGTTCATTTCTTCTTCATTCCTTTTATTTTTTTTATGCATGTATGTAGTTTCCATAAAAAGATATTAAAGAGAAAAAGAGAGAAGAGTGCTTACCTTCCTTGTTGATCTTCTCGACGGAATATAGATGGGTGAGGGCTGGGATTCCGATTTAGTTTCGTTCGGGTTAGAGCCCGACCACCGATGGAGGTGGTTGGAGCATAGGTAGCCACCGTGAGTTGAGGGAGAAGAGGAAAGGGAACTGAAAGTTTGGGTTTAGAAATCCACGCAAAAATGAGTTCTGGTAAAAGGGAGGAAGTTGATATCTTAGTATTTTTGGGTAAACCACGCTAAAGGTCCCTGGACCTTTAGCATGTTTTATTTGGCCACTAGTTTTAGGTTAAACTACCTTACTGGTCCTTTATGTTTAATGTGATTCGTGATTTAGTAACTTTTTAGGGTAAATCAAGCCGTAGGTCCCTTACATTTTAGCATGTTTTGTGATTTAGTCATCATTTCCTTTTATTTTCTAAGATTTACGAATTAGATGCATGATTTTATATTATTGTAATTTAGTCCTCTGTTGGATGTATTATTTTTTGTTCGAGATTGGCTACTGATGTTGATGTTTTTATATTTTAGTCCTATGTTTATGGTTTTATTATGATTTTGGTGCTTCTATGTGTTATTTTCTTGTTTAATGTTATAATATTTGTTTTATTAATGTTTAGGATATCAAAGTTACTTTATAATTATTTTGTCACTATATTATGAATGAATCCAAGTGTATATTATTTCTTTATACCATTAAAGTATTTTTATGTTCTAGGTATTTATTTCACTTGTATTATTATACATTATTTTATGTATATAAGATTGTATGTAGAGCATGGTATAAATGTTATATTTTTTTTTTAGAATAAATGTTTGGTTCTATGTTTAGTATAATATTTAGAAAATATTTATATTTTTAAAGTAATGTAAAGTTAAAAATAAATTTAGAATTGTTCTTTTAATCCATGTGTATTTATATTTTTTTCTTTAAGTGCTTCAATGTATCATATTTTATTTTGTTTAAAAGCCTCATTAGTATAACTTAACCAATTACATAATTGGATTAAGGGTTATATTTATGTATATTAAATATTAAGAAGGGACAGTCTTAAAACAACTAGATGTCTTTTTCCGATATTTTAAATAAATAAATATCCCACTAGAAAACCTAAAAAATTGATTGCATTTAAAATTAATTAATTTTGAAGAGAAAAGGAAATATTCATTATTTTAAACTTATCGAGACAATTTGCTAATTTTATTAGAGATTAAGTCTCGGTGTTTTTAAATTATTGAATATCCCTTATCTTTTCTAATAATATTCGGATTAATAAATTTAATTTCTTTCTTTGGTAGAATAATTTTTTTATATATGGAATCCTTAGGAAAAATTATTATATTCTTTTATTTCAGTTGGGAAGAGAATATTCGTCCTAAAGTATTTTAGGGAGTATTTTCTCTTCAATTGGAAATAGGAGAATATTTTATATTTTTCCTTAGAATTTTTGTTCTATAATATTTGTATGGTTGAATTAGGAATAATGGAATCGTGATCTAAAATATATTCAAATTCTTAGATTTCTACTATTTAGAGACAATATAATCGATGGGTACCAATTTTGGGCGTTGTGGGGGTGCTAATCCTTCCCCACACGTAATCGACCCCCGAACTCTTTTTTATTACTAAAAATGAATTTCTGGTTATACGTGGATCGATGCATCTTTTAAAAGAAAATGATGTTTTTCTTAAAAAACTCTTTTAAAGAAGATTTTTGGGTATTCGGCCTACCTAACCCAAAAGGTCGATGGCGACTCCGAAACATTTCTTTTACAAAATCGGGTTTTCACGAAACGAGTCGAGACTCGTCGTATCGCCGGAAATCGGTTACGACAAGTATGTATCTATGTGATGTGATTCATGAGGTTATATGAAATATTATACTATATGACTATGTGAGTATATGAAAAAGAATATAGGTACATGCAAGTTATATAGAAATGAGTTGTGTAACCATGACTGATATATATTACATGTATGGGAATATACGAGAATAAAATATAAATTATATGAAAAGATATGATTCATGTGATGTGACCTATGTGAACATATGAGAAAGTGTATAAGTTATATGTATTACATGATATATGTGATTTTACAAGAAATGACATGAGCTATGTGATTACATGATTATAAGAGATCAGACATGTGATAAAAGATAATTAATATGCATGTGTGAATATGAAATGATATAAATGACAATGCCCATGTTGTGTGTCATGAGAGCTAGGGGTATAGTTGGCATGCCAAGAGTCGAGGGTCTACGCGGTCCTTCGGAATATATATGTATTCTTTAGAACATGTGTGAGGTCTTTTGAGACACATACTTGATCCTTGGCATATGTATATGATTCTTAAGGAATTTTCTATATGGTCCTTAGGGACAATCTTATATGGCACTTCGGTGCAATTCTACGCGGCACTACGGTGCAATTCTACGCGGCACTACGGTGCAATTCTACGTGGCACTTCGGTGCATTTATATGAGCTGCGGTGAAGCATTAGTGCACACTCCATAGACTCACATATCTATAGTTCTCACATATGCATGGGTTAATCAAGAGATAAACAATATATGTTAGTGATATGATAAATGTTATAGAAATGATATGATGTTGTGTGTGTATAGTGTTTGATTGAAAAATGTTAAGCATAAAATATGTAATTACATGATAAACTGCTAATGATGATTTATGTGTATGTATGTATTTATTGTTAATTAATATGATATGATTTTACATGATATGAGGAAATCATGTAATTGGGTATAGCATGATAGAACAGAACATGCATGTATTGTTATATGTTATAAAGTGCATTATAAGTTTTTATACCTCAATAAGTCATAGACTTAGCGTGTGATTGTTTCACACGTAGGTTACAGAAGCGAGAAGAGAAGCGTAGAAGAGTAAGACAGATCAACATCTTCCTTACAAAATTTCAGATCAGAAAATAGATGATTTAAATGGTTTTGGTTATTTGAATATAATTGGCATGTACTAATTGATGATCGATTTGGTTTTTGTGGTCAATTTATGTAAATAAACCATTTTTACTTTAATGAAAGTTTTAAATTTTCTTAAATTTTGTCAGAGTCAAAATTTGAAAAGTCAATGTACATCTTAGACTCGGATCCGGTCGAGTACGGGTTGATGGTGTTACAAATTAATTCTGAATGTGACATGTTTGATAATGGCTCTGAATAATTCAGAATGTACTTCTATACTGAATCATTCAGCACTGAATCATTCAAAAGTGCAAAACAAACAAACTGAATGCTAAACGGTTCAGCATTCAGCGCTGAAAGATTCCATTAAGAGGAAAAACAACACTTAACCCCTTTAAATAGTGCTTCATCTATTGTGCAATGGAAACATTGAATGCTCAAATCAAATCATAACATTGAAAAAACATTGTAAGACATTACCAACCAAACCCAATTTCTCATATTTTATATAAGCACTTGGAAACAACTAACAAGGCCATCGTCTGCCAACAATAGTGAAAGAGTAATTTATTTACATGTCCGGTAGAGCTGAAGGATCAGGCGATTTCCCCAGACAGCATGCATGCTGTTTTCACCTGTAACTCCTACCTTTCTCTGTATCTTCTTATAATCCAATGGGTTTGTCATCCCACCCTTAATCCCAACCCAAACAAACCCTCATTTAACTTATCATCGTCAAACCCTTTCAACAAAACCTTATCATGTAAAACATGCAACACTTCCAAGTAGGTATTTGGGTTATCCTTTTCTTTCTCAGCATTGGATGCACCGCCTGTGTCGGAACAATTGTCCCGTCATGTACCCATATAATAATCCTCACTACATTCTCTATTTATTCCCATCAACTGGACATCATATTACAGGCTATGATCATGAATTAAACTGACCTCAAACTGGCAAACATTTTGCACTTGAGAGGAGAGGATATATTTGGGCACACAAGGTCAGCACAAACCAAACTGCTGATTGTAAAGACTATAACCCATTGAAGCCAACTGCATCTTTATTCTTAACCATTATAATGAAGGTGTTGGTTTTGGGAGCCCTGGCCCTGCTGAGGCTGCTGCTGTTGCGGAGGCAGCAAGTTTAATGGCTGTGTGTTGAAGTGTGCAAAGGGCTGGGAGTACAGAGAATTCATCAGACCCTGCAAAAAGATAGCCATGTACTCCAATTTATAAACAAAATAGAACTTGACTATGTCATGAAATCAATGTGGACCAAAACACCATGGTCAACCATGTCATAATGCACAAGATTTTAGGCAGATTAACAGGCTATGACTACTGCCCTAATGGCTACAAGCATTAACAGACAAGGATTTCAAATATTGCCAACCTGGGACTGAAGCTGGTTGGGATTAGCCACCCCAAAGTGGCTCTGTGATGCATCATCTTGCGAAGGGTCATTAAAGCCAGCCTGAGTAAACAGGCCTTGCGATCCATGATTCATGTATTCCTGTAAAAACAAATTTTTCTCAGAAAAACTCTGTGGGGGGGGGAGTTGAATCAACTAATCACAATGCAGCACTTGAACCTGAGACATGAAATCATTTCCAGCACCGAAACGAGAGTATCCAGCTTGAGAATTATGGTTTAGGAAGAACCCACTCTGCTCCTTGTAGAATAATCAACAGCATATCCACTCTGAGTAGCCAGCATGCCAACAAATCAAGCAACATACATCAGCAAGCAAGAAGTCAAGCACCGAAGGAACATTTTTATCTAAATACAGAAAATTACAAAATGAAGAGAGAAGCAAAAGGAAACTTATAGTAAATATCTTCAAGAAAATCATTATCAAGCAACCCACATACTGAAACCAATGTCTGACACCAAAAGTAGCTTTCTTTCTATATATAGAAAAATACAAAGACAAGAGAAAACTAATGGACAGCAGATAATCTAAATATCTTGGTTAAAGAAATTCATGGACCTCAAAAGCTAACTTTTAGGCAGATAATCCAGTAGGATACAAACCACAAAGATAAATCAGGAAGCAATTTGAGACTTTTGACAATGATACCTCCTATTGAGACACCCTTAAGAATCACAAATAGACCAAGCAAGCCAAAGGAGCGTGCAAAAACCTAGCTCAGATGCAAAGAAACTCGAACCTAACCTCAAAGCTAGCTCTTAAGATGGAGAACCTAATAGCATACATAAACACGCTTACATAAAAGAGATGGGCATATGGTGAATTTAAAATTTTCAACACCACTTTAATGCTATAAAGTAGAACCTAAGGAAACATCTTGCTACACTGCCTCAATAGTAAGTGGCTCTACCTTTTCTTTCTCCTACTAATTTTGGACCATAGCATTGAGGCTTTTCATGTAGGCAATAAACTACTAAGCATCTCCGTACAGTACCAAGCAAACCAATAACTGATGTATGTCGTAAAAGATTGAAAAGATAATATCAATACAAACAAATAGAAGTAATAACCTCTACCTGCGTTGAAAATCAGTAATGTTATAAGGAACATGCGAGCCTTGGCTTTGAAGTCCTCACCCAAGATGTCCTGTGGGATGATCAATCAAACCAATTATAAGTTATCAAGAAATATATTGCAATTATGGGAGAAAATGAGGACTCATACAAAAGAATAACACCTGGGACATCCTCCCATTGAAAATCCATCACGAATTGTTTGGCTTGGCCGTGGACAGGCATCTATTTCAGATGACAACCATGCTCAGAATTCCATTATTTCAAAGAAATGATTAAAGTACAAAAAAAACCAAAACAGAAGGGAAAGGATAAAGTACTGACATTGTTAACAATCCCAGGTTGAGACAATGGACACCTACAGATGGCTGGCTGTTTGGGTTCTCAGAGGAGGAAAGTTGAAAGAGACCCAATAGTTCCAACATTTTGCTGTGTACCTTGCTGGTGTGGGAGGTGATGGCCAATAGGACCACTAGCATTACAACGACCAGCTCCAAGCCTCGACTTCTCTGGTTGAGGGACTTGAGGAACAGCTCCCACGGTCCATGTACAGTTCCACGAGATGGAATAGCATAAGGCTGAGAGGAGAACCTGGAAATGGTGGAAGAGGAACGAGG